CCCCCCCCACGCCTCCCTCCTCCTCTCCGACCGCGACTGCTTGGCGAGCTTTCTACCCCCAGTTTCTGACTTTTCTGTCTTACCCGCCGTACCAAAGACATTTCCAATAATGCGCTTTCCCATCGCGATTCGATTCTCAAAGAACTTGAAGAAATTCGTCAGAAACTGTGTGTCTTGAAACGTACGTCCAAAATTCGAATTTTTCTTACTTTCGAATTTTTGGAGTAGCCAACGTAAGCACTTTTCAATTAAATTCTCAAATTCGGAATTTATTGATATATCATTCTAGGCCAACCATTTTATTAATATTACATTTATTAAAAATTTTACGCGATGCTGCTTTGTTATCAATAAATATCTTTTTCCAAAATTATTTTTCTCGTAAGAATACTTTTTTTTCACTAAAACATCTTCAAATTTTGCAATATTAATTGATAAATGCACTATATAAAAGGATTAGTAAAGAGAAAGTTATAAAGTAGTCACGCAATTTACAATAATCGATATTGTAAATTTATTTCTTCGCTAAAGAACGAGATCAAAAGAGAAGAGAAAAAAAATCTCTGATACCAATCGAGTCACAGTAGAATTCTTGTTTAGCACAAGAGGATACACATCTCTATCGGTATGCTTACCAGCAGTAACCTAAGTTATCATATGCATGCATGTACACGTGGAATTTATTCGCTGTTGATAAAAAGGTACCTATGTTATTGTCCCAAGAATAGTATAATTCCAAATCACATCTAATGGAAAATTATCGTTAACTCCAAATATATACACATATGACGTTAAGGAGAAGAGCTTTAATTTAAATAAATAAATCTGACGTGAATTTTGCATGTCAGAAGTCTTTCGAGTGACTTTTAGATCAGTATGTGAAGTAAAATATACATAATATTGAAAATAACTTACATTAATCTCGTTAATGCGATCGTCGAGCACATTCGGCAGCTCCAGACCGATTTCGTAATCAAAAAATCGATCGTACATGGTTTTGAATTCCGTTTTCATGGCAGCTAATTTGCGATGAAGAGAGCTGGCCATTTGCGCCTGTTCGACTCGCGATGTCAAAGTTTCCCATCTCTCGATCGTGCCTAAATGAATTATACAACATAGAGCGACATTAATAACATAGTATTTTAAGATAAATGGTAATACTTTACATTATTTCATCAATTCTGTTAGAGCATTTATATAATAAGATAGACGAACAGAAATCTTGAGTATTAAAAATATTACAAGTGTTTGTGCGCGTTTTAAAATTACTTAAATAATTAATAAAATTTCAATTAATTTTTTTTTCTGTCTTCTTTACAATGACTTAAAAATATTATGATAAATATATATAATATACAGTTTTTTTGTGTGATGTTCTTGATATTGCAAATGACATAATATTATAACTAACTTGATACAATCGTACGGTAGCACTTCCCTACATTGCTACATATGGCACTATATAATTTAACATATGTCATGTTGGTACTCGACGCGGGCACTCGTGCGTTCAACTGTTTCCTTTCTTTCTTTCTCTGGTAAGTCTCGTGAAAGAAAGAAAAAACGACCTAGCAATTATACTCCTATATGTCTTTTTATTTCCGGCCTTTAAAGAATTGTACTGTTATCTGTAATAACGGTATCCGTAACGATTTGTGGCCCTCATCAGCCGGTTATGTAAAACGATCATGAGCAAAAAATCTTAAAGGTCAAGATACTTATGTCTGTACCGTACGGCTTCCGTGACCTCTTTTACCGTCTCGCCACTTTCTTTTACGACGGCCACTTTTTCCAAATCGAAACCGCACAGTCAGCACGATAGAAACGATACCGTAAAGAAATGGACGAAGATCGAATTAACGCGGCATTACAACGTCGTAAAAATCATCGTTATAGCGATGTATACATCCTCGAAGAAAGGCGTGTATAGAATGCAATAAGAAAAATTCGACGCGTATATAGAAAGTATCATGTTTTGCATTGACCTACAGGAAGTGACGGACCATACGCATGAGTGTAAAAAACGAAGCACGAATGCGATATGAACGCGATATGAACGCAGCTCGTACGGTACACGTGGTGCATATGTAAACGCGCATCGTGCATGGAAACGTACGCTTCGTGCGATCGTACGCCTCGCCTCGCCTCGCCGCGTGTGATCGCTAGAGCGTAATTCGCTATTCAATGCAGTTGGTGATGGTTCCAAACGACGTAATGCACGACGTGTTTTTCGCGGAAACACGCATGTGTGTCTATACGAATGTTGGTACACAAAAGGAGACATGGAACAAATGGTTCACGCCGGGTCGAGCGCGTGCTCAGGTTTCTATTGATTCGCGCAGGACTCAATAGAATATTTTTATCCTATTAGTTAAGTTTCACGTGTTTGTTGACGTTGCAAAAATATCTCGGCATAATTTACTTTCGCGAAACTAATCGCGATTTTTCATTCTATCCTGAAGAAGTGGAGCGACGATCACGGTCACAATAATCGTCACGTCACGCGGCACTTTGTGCAATTGCGTCGCATCGTTTCAAACGTTGATATCGCGAGAATGATCGATGGATTCGGCGGGTAACGGAACAGCGTTACTGTAGTAGACAACGTATATTATTACCGCACGCAACAATGCGAGGATCCGGAATGAAGGGTTGCTACAACCATTCGCTTTTTCAAGTTCTGCGCAGCGCGGAGCCAGCGTTTTATAATTTCGAAATAGACAATCGTAACATTGAGATTCTGCGTCGTCTTTTTTAAATTTTCTAAGATGACATTAAGAAATAATATTTCGAGATAATGTGTTTACATTATCCAAACTTCCTACGAGAAATCTATTCAAATATCTTTGTTTGCGTAAGCATTTACTTGATTTCCTTTGATCGATGTTCTCATCGTATAATCTCGTCGGCACTGTACCGTTTACGTCATTTTTGGATACGTGAGTCGTTTCTAGCCGTATGTAATTTTGAAAATATCGCTGAGAAAAATGGTCTGGTTGGATTAAATAATAATTCTGATGGAAAATGAACGAATCGGAATTTTCTGGTTAACTCTGTTAGAATTTTAATTGAGATAACTAGAATTCTGGTTGATACAATATTTCTGGTAAAATGTACTAAAATTCTTATTTTTACCAGAATAATTATATTAATCAGAATTCTAGTTATCCCAACTACTAGAATTCTAGTAGATTTAACCAGAAAATTCTGATTCGTCTATTTTCCACCAGAATTACTATTTAATCCAACCAGACCAAGGCCGTGTTCCAAAAAAATTGATAAGAAATTTGAACATGGCAATTGTATTCGATTCATTTTCCACAAATAGTATAGTTGCATTCGGAGAAGAACTTCAAACTTGCCAACTGCATAGAGAAGAACGTTTCTCACGGTCATTGATAAAGCTAATTGCACCAATTTCGCAACGATAGCAATAGCAAAACGATGACGAAGGTAATACGTACGCGAATTGTCCGGGGCAATCTTCTCCCCTCGCGCAAGCATCGGGTCGACAAATTCGAATGACAGGTGGACGCGTCCGGAAGATGCGGATGTATCTTCTAATCAATATAGCGATGACGGATAGCTGAAATAGCTATGAACGCGACACGAAGCAGATGCGACGAGCGAACGTCTGGTGACGTTCGGGCACATCGAAACACTGCGAAGCACGGCGCTCGTTCACGGGAGCGAGCACTGTGCCCACGTGATGCCACGACGTAGCGAAGATACGATTGCGCGAGCGAACGAGTGAGCGAGTTGTGATTCGCACACCGATGTTGATCACGGATAGCGCGGCACCGCTAACACCCGCGGTTCCTACGACTCTGCCCGACGGAGTATTGTTAAGTTTCATATAAGGTGCGACTCGAGGTACACGTTACAAACGCAGCATGCGTATCCACCTACGCACACCTCGGCACCCACGTGCACGCGCGATTGACGATCTAACGATCTCGTTAGATTTACGATTGGAGTAAACTTGTCGTTAATCCGATCTGACGCTTATATACACGGCACTCTTAATATATACATACATACTAATGTGAGTCGTAAAATAGCTCGGAAGCTCTCATTGATCACGTTACTGCTGACACCGTTGCCTCGAATAAACAATACTGTGAAACTATTTACAATGCGCCGTATGGTCGTTAGGAACATATACGTTTCCATTTTCTGCTTTCTCCTACGCTCGGATGCGCCTATTTGAACTTTGTTGAAAACAAATTGTGTCGTGACTAACGTCGATTTAAACACTATGAAAGCGCACACTATTGTCGACTATTTTAATTACAATGTATGTTTTGCATCTCTTACTTTCACGAATAATGTTGCATGTATATGAAAAAACTAATATTAGCACATAGTTTTTATTAAGTATGTTTCCGTGAATAATTCCTTACTTTCTATTTTATTGTTGATAATACTTTTCTCTCTTCCTACATTCACCTACATATTTAAATCAAGTACAAAAATTTATAACGAGCTAAAAACATTGTACTTCCCTTACAGAAATAAATTAAATTGTGAGGATTATCGAGTAATAGTAAAAAAAAAATTGTGCAGATCGCAAAAGGTTAAAATAAAGAGAAAATATTAGATGCAATGTAATACATGTTAATAAGCAGATTAACATAAAGATTTTATTTAACATAAATAATAAAGTACATATATACAAAATAAATAAATAATTTTCTATATATTGGTTAAATAAATAATATTAGTTGAATTAAAGTTGGGTTCAAATTTACCCAAGTTCTACTATTCGATGGAGGTCACGATAATATAAATGTTAAACCGGTTTAAACTAGAGCAATGATTTCGCAATGACATTACAGCTAATTTTGACACGAATTGAATCTTAGCACGCTTAACAATAGAAACAGACGTTTATGTGATAAAATGTTTGTGCGATGGAAATAAACGTTCACATTTTTGTTATCTATTTACCAGTTCAACAAAATAAATGCGATTCTACTGATAATATATAATAAGATAATGGCAGATATGATAAAATAATGTGTGCTTATATCTCGTGTTTTTTTTTTACAAAAAAATGTTTACTACGGGTGTACTAACATGCAATAATATGAAAATGTTATTTCTGGAAGATATTGTTTTCACTGCGCATCATAAGAAATAAGCCGGAAAGCAAGCTTATTGTAAGACACAAAGTGGTAGTGGTTACGAAGAACAGTTTGAAATTGATTGAATGCTTGTACTCACCACGAATTTGTTTTGAGTATTTTTCATTTCGTAAGTATCCGTTTTGCGATTCCAGTACGGTCTGCAAACATCCTAAGTTTTCTTTACATGCAGACTCCACTTCGGCCTATTAGAGATACAAAGGATAAATTCTATTAACTAATGTGTCTATATTGACACAAATGTGTTGTGTGAACAATAAAATAATACATCTAATTAATCGTTTTATTACACTATTCTCTTATTCAATATAATATACAAAAAATAGATAAACATTTCCTATGATTAACCAATTATTATAATCTATTCGAGAATACCACGTAATATATATTTGCTATACAAAATTTTCATAATAAGAGAAAGATTACTAAAGAATTATACAAAGAATCATGCACATTAATAATTTGAAATAACAGTCTTGAAACTTAAAGAACTGTTTAAAGAATATAGTTATTACGATCCTACATTCTTTAAATAGAAGAAAAACAAACAAAAAGATGATACACAATGCTGTAAACCGTATAACATAAATTAATAAAATGGTACACATAAATCTTATTTGTGTTATAGAAACACAAGATTTGTTATGTCTTTAAAAATATAATTGAAATTATATATTAAAATATAAATAAAATATAATTTATAGTTTTATCGAATAATATATTGTAAATGCTACTGATAGTAGGAGAGGAGACAACATTATAATTAACGCAAACTTAAATAAAATTAAATAAATTGTATTTCATGCGTTCATACAATATATAACGAATACGACGTGCAAACTTTATAAAATCACTACTTACGAGATAAAGCGAAATAACGGATAAAGCGTATAAGAGATAAAGTAAAAACCGTACTCCAAAAGCATCTACAAAATGTTATAGATACAGGACACTGTATTGCAAGCATTAGTAAGAAGATACGTACGAGTTCTGAAGGAACCGCGCCATTGGATCTTACGAAAGTATTTTCAGCAAGTATAAGTTGCGCTTGTGAATTTTCTACGATTTTTCGTAAATCTTCTTCGTCATTATCACTGTCTTCCGTACTATCGTCGATTTCCTAGAATATAATCACAATGCATGAACGTTTGATTACGTAACATACGGCGCCTTCTTGGAATTCATTATGTAGATACAATACACATACGAATGCATCGCGTCCATGAACGCGTTAGAATCATATAGAGTATTACAGCATTTATATTGTAAAATATTTCTCAATTTCTCTTATCTGTAGCATTATCAAAGGTAAATATTTGATCATTTACAAATAATAGAGTTTTATTATTGCTGCTGTATTTTTTTATTGTAAGATTTGATTTATCAGTGATGTGTAATTACGCAATCATCAGTAAGCTTTAACAGAGAAAAACTACAATTCATAAATTGTATCACATTCGTTCTATAGCAAAGTCGGTTAATATTTCGATAATTACAACTTACGTTGTAACAAGATATTACATGAAATTTATAATATTGTATATAATCATATTATGAAAAATAAAACACCTATATAACTGCTTAAAATATTTATTTATTATAGCTATAATTTAATGTTTTATCAAAGTGTATTGTATCAATATAATGATTGGGGGTATATATTGATCACTGTAAATGGCACACTATTCAATATCATGGATACATAAAAATTATTAATTGGTTAAGGCTGATTAATTCAATTACATATACTAAATATGTACTCTCTTTTCTCTTTGTAAAGTGCTTTTTCATAAGAAGAATATGGACACTTGATCGAGACAATATAATAGTAAGGGACCTACGTGATACGTGCGAGTTTTAGGCAATGGCAAACGAGCAGGAATTGCGCTTATACTGGATGCGCATTCTGAATGACTATCGAGAAAATTTCGATAATCATCTCCAAAATCCAACAATTCTCGAGCCGTCTCTACATCTAATGGCTCGCTGTAAGCTTCACTCATATATTTCTCCTGTAGATAAAAAAATTTGTCAATATAAAGAAACGATACTTCTTATTAGATTTTTATTGTGAATATTGTGCAATTGTGTGTATCACCTGGTAATTATCCCAAGCCTGTTCGGATAATGAATTGTTACCGAGACTGTGCATTTCCACGTCACTGTCTATATTCAACTGCTGATTACTTAGTTCTTTGCTATTCAGCACAGTACTCAATATATCATTATTGTAAGCAAAGTGTCCTTGAGCACAATCACGATCTTCGCCTTCTGTTTCCAACGTGGAAGCAACCGACTTGCAACAAAGTAGCCTGAGCGGAGTAGGATTATTGACAAGCAGCGTCCTTTCTACATGTAATTGTTGATGGACGGTACAGCCTGAGAAAGATCCGGATTTTACGAGCGTCGTAGAACGACTATGGCAGTTTTCTTTCGAAACTGAATGCGTTGTGCGATTTAGATTCATTTTGCGAGACGAACGTTGCTGATTCGAGCTACCATCGCTTCCCGCCGAATGATGATTGGCATGTGCACTTTCCGAACTAGACTCACTTTTACGGCCCTAAATAAATTCGAATCCTCGATTTAAACTTAATCTACAAAATAACTCAAAGCAAAAAGTAAAAAATACGTTTGATGAAAAGAAATTAACTTGGTAGACACGTATAGTTAACCTATTATATTGAAACCTTCCTTACCAAAGTCTTCTTACGTAATCTATTTTTCTTTCTGCGAAACGATATATTTCTAGCTACGCGATCGTCCGAACACATAAAAGACTCTTCTAATAAAGTGGATGCGGAATTATTAAATGATTTCCGTGATCCTCTGCAATATAAACGATACTTGATAATAAATTCCATTTAACTACACCAAACAGTAACGTAGATTAGTAACCAACACAGGGCGAAACTTAATTTAAAAAAAAAATATATAAATTTATTAAAACAATATACTTACGTAGCATCGAAGGATACGGATTTAGTAGGTAGAGTCGCAACCAACTGATGAAGAGCAGTCTCAGATAAGAACGGTAAAATAGGATTGTCTTTCTGAGCTAAGGTATGATTATCTCCAATTTGAGAGATACAAGAAACACTCCATGGCCTAGATCCTTTCGCTTTTTGTCTCGATCGCATTATGACCTTCGGCGTATTCTCGTCAGGAGATATCTCGTTGACAGGCGTTTTCTGAACGTAATCAAGTATCTCTTGCGAAGGGGATTGCGATATAGCGAGAGCACCTTCGAATCGGCGATAGGTCGCGACGCTACTCTGCAAATCATCCGACGATATCGATTGTCTTTCTGCATCGGATTCCTCCGTTGTGTATTCACCGCTGGCGTCGCAGCTATCTAACGGCTGTAATGTACGTGTTATTATACGTTATATCATTATGTCATGTTTTCTACGGTTTTTTGCAATATCCGCAATAATTTTTACACAGAAAAATAGTATGTAATTTTGTAGAGCAATTTATACGCAAGAGATATTTATGCCAATTTAATACTAATACTTCAATATTAATCATTATTTGATTTGATCCAAGAAGGATATTCGATTTACTTTGTTTGTTCCGATTTTCTAGAAATCTATTGATCTAATTTACCTGTGATTTGCCCTCATAACTTCTCGACGCGTTCAACTTCAACCATTCCTTCACTCGCGCGTATTTAGCTCGATGATTGTTCGTTATGTTTTTCTCCTCGAACTCTAGCTGCGAAAAAGTGCGCGAGGCCGTGTGTCTTTCTTCACCGATCAAGTTTTCAACTTCTTTGATCAATCTTTCAATACTCGATTTATCAGTCTTCTTTTCATCATCGCTATCTTTTTGCTGAACTTTGCGAGCGTCATCTTCCGTTTCTTTTTCGTTACCTACACTTTTTTTCTGCGCAAAATGCATTTTTTCCGAGAGATCGACCTTCGGACTCTCGCCAAAGTCCAGACGAACCACAACATTCGTTCTTCGTTGCTCCGAAACGACAAGCGAGCCGTTTCGACGGGCAGGAGTGTAAGTCCACTCCTCCTCGGAGGAATCGTCCACCGTGTTGGATGATTCCTGGACTAGTTGACCACAATCTGCCTCAGAATCGGTGTCCAGGTGCTTGAAGTAGAAGGTAGCACAGTTCTTTGATTTTCTGTCAGACCTAAAACATAAAAAAATCCCATCTGGTATCGGTTGTCATTTCGGCGACAGCCGGAAGAGATAACCGGGTAATGGATGATCAGCTCTCGGACGATCGTTTTACCGTTACGAAATAGTAAGATGAGATAGTAGGAAAGAAAGGAAATGCGACTTACGTGTTGAATGAAGCAGCTTCGTCCGTTGCTCCACGTTTCACAAGTTCGTTCGTCCGTAGACCGTTATTCGTTTTTTCTGTACTTTCGATTCGCACGGTGTTTGCCGCGTCGATTTCGTCGCACGTTTCCTGCATCGCCACCGTCGACGTTGTTATCGGTACGGTGTCCGGTGTGGGCGGCATGTCTTGTTGCTCGTTATCGCTCGCTTTGCTTTCCTCGACGTCACCCTCTTCCCCTCGATCGCTCGCGATAGACGTAATGGAAATAGTGGCCTCTCGTTTTTCCGGTTCGTCGGACCTTGCGTCCATCACATATAGTTGACACAATTCATCCTGCATACCGTAGAAAGCGCATGTACTAATTATTGATAGCGAATATCGTGTACGCGGTGCATTATCAGTAAATTCTTGCTTGAGAAGATACGATAGACGATTAATTATTTATCGGACAAGGTTTCTAGAAGATTAATTAAGATTTGGTTTTTTTAATTCCATATCGTTTTATTCGGAAGTGAAATGAACGCTGAAATGATCGGCAAGGAAAATTTTCTCTGTATCGCTCAAGCCCAAGCTTCTTGAACACGCTACACGATATCTCGATGTATTATTAAAGTGAGAGAATAACTTGCATGGATATCTATGATTTCACTAGTTACTTTGAAAGATCGTTCGCAAGATCTCCGTCCGACACGAATGTTACGGTTTTTGCTACAAATTCGACCGCTACTTTTTATCAGGATCATCGCCTGGCGTCTGGCGTGTACGGACTTCTCACTGTACGTGCGTACCCAATTCGTTTTACAGAAGCCGTTCTTCTTCGCGGCCTTCTAGGCTTAGTCCACTTAACACATTCGGATACGCGGCTCTTCTCTAATCTACGCGGCGTAAAGTGGTAGTAACAACGCTCTCTTATCTCTCATTAAAGCTAAAGATGTAGTTTAACTCCTGCAGTTGCGAGATTCCATAAAGGAAGAACAATTTGCGAGACGTACTTTGCTCGGACGTGCTTATCGAAGTCCATTAAGCGTTAATGAAAATTCCCGTCTGTCGTATAGTAATATACAACGACAATAATTAATTACAGTAAGATCCGCCCATTATCGTTCGCATCGAAAAAATGCCTACGGTACTCACCTCCGCGAGAGTAGAGTTAATATTTCTACGCATGAATCGCGCGCAGCGCTCATTGCATGAAAACCGGGTCAATGACTTGTAATAGTCGTGTTTCGCGACAGCAGAATGGAGAACAATAGCTCGACTGTCGATTCTTGGAACAACTACGTAAACCACTTCCTGTTTTTTTTGCAATTATTTAAAAAATTGCTCGAGATGCAAGATAAAAACACAAAAGAGTGTATATTTTGTATGTGATATTTTATAAATAACATTGCAAAGAAGATTCATTCGTACGTTTCAGATATAAACGTATATCTGAACTTTTTTTACATTACTATCGTTGCGTGATTGAGTCGCTCTTATCTTCTGTAGATTACTCTACGTTCTACTGTGGGAGACAAATATAACTTCTGTCAGTCGCGTGATTCATTCCTCGGCACGGTTCTTAATATTTCCATAACGACACAATTTCTTCGCTGCTCGCTATGCGGTCACGACGGAGTCACGGGGACGCACGGTAACGGGGATCGTTTCAATTCGCAAATAATGGGCCTCGATCGAAATCACGTAATCGAACTCGCACAGGCTCGTCGCTCTGTATACATACGCTCGATGAATACATTCACGTACCTCGAAATACGATCCTTCGCTGATGGATTGATTCTCGGAAAAGGCGTCGCTGTCGGACTGGTCGATCCTCTCATTTGAGACTGGATGATCGCAGTACTCGGATCTTGGGCGTCCAACAGCGCGCTTGGCGCGTTCGGTACGCGCCGAGCGAGCGGACTGTCCTGGCGATTCCGCCGCTTCGGAGCCACGCGATCGTCCGCGGCTGAGCCGGGGCTGTTTCGTGACTGGTTCCTCGTCGCTGTCGCTACTGCAGCCGTAAGGCACGGCGATCTGAAATATGAAATTCAAATCTTTTTTACTCGACATAATCACGGTAGCGATGTATAAACTCCGTCGAACTTTGTCTTATTATTGTTCACGATATCTCCGCACCTTGTTATCGTGTTCCGAAATGTTGAACGTACGCTTCTGCGAAGACCGACACTTATCTTGTTTTAATAAGTTATCGCTTACTATCAGCGCACGAATGTGTCATATGACGCAGTTGGAATTGATGAGAGAGAGAGAGAGAAAGAAAGAGTTATGGTTATGGCCGAACGCTCGACGCGTTACTGAGTTACTCTGTCCAAAGACCGGGTCTCGAACCTTCGACGGGATACCTGAGGCGGGTCGTATAAAAGAAAACCGCTCGACAACATTTTACAAGTTTAAACTGGTAAAGGGCTTGCGCTTTCAAGGGTAGGGATAAGGGTAGGCAAGCTGATAGAATACAAGAAAACGTATATAACACATCCGCGCCAATTAATATTTTATCTATTCATATTCTAATAGTTGATGTTGCTCGTTTAATATTAGATATAAAAAAAAATTTATTTTACGATATACACACAAATATCTTTTTTACATTAGATAAGTTTTCTATTTATCTCATGTAAATTTAATAAACTCTTATAAATTCGTTTATCAAACTAATTTCATCTTAGATTGATATTTTCATTTTACCAGTAGTTTTTCTACACTTAGTTTGTTGATGCGTAAGTCATTAAATTTAATGGAAAGAAAGTTATCTCATTTCGTTATAAAGAGGAGTACTGCCTACGTCTGTGGTAAAAGATTTGAAATATCGTTTTGCTTAGATTTTTCTTTCTGCATGACCACAAATAAAACATAATGGCCACTCAATATACTCTTCTTAATGGTCGTCAATTGTGAAGCATCTCCGTCAATTGTAACCACTAACAGATTATTGCTCGGCTCCACCCTTTATTTCCTGACATCGCCCATTCGCTCATCCTCATCGATCGATATTGTCCGACGCGTTTTCCCACAAGTTTCAGTTTAATTACTACGATCGGCACAGCGGGAGGAATGAAATACTTGCGGAGTTTAATACGAAGCGGCGAAATGAGCGCAGCGTTCCATATTTTATATATATTCTGTTTACACACATTTTAATCACCTTTACGCGCTTTTCTCGCTTATAATATTGCACTTTGCAACTCTCAATTAAAAAAAAAGTCAATTATCTCTGGGAAAATGTAATACCTTCGTTCACACATGTAAAGTGTGTCGTTTAATCGCGTCGACTCTTTGCATCTCGAGTAAGATATAAAGATATTCCTCCGTGAAAGGTAAGAGACGAATAATAGAACCGTTACCTTATTTCTTATATGAGATACGAGGGTCTCAATGTGACACTGCCACTCCAAGGCGCGTAAAAACAGAAGATGCCAACGTCGCTCCAATGATCTTACTATACGCAAAGGCTGCGAGGATTGCTGCTTCTTCTCTTGCTGCTGTTCCTGTTCTTGTTGCTGCTGCTGCTGCTGCTGCTGTTGCGTGAAAACTTTGTCTCCCAATTTGACAATCGAACTGACGATACGCCCGTGCGCCTCTATATCTCGTTGGAGTACCTGCGTTGGAGTACAGAAATTTAGTAATTTATCGTACATCCATTATAATCTTTGGACTAAAAAGAAAGAAAAATTAACACAGAGAAATCGATGTGTGTGCCTAGAGATTTTAATAAATCATAATATCTCGTCTAAATTATACATCCATAGCAGCTATATTAGAAAACATAAAGCGTCTAGATGCGCGAAACTAGTAGTTATATCCAACCAACGACACCGTCGATGATTAATAATGCGGCGAGGGCCAGCGGAAAGTAAGCGCGGCTTAGGAACGTGTACCGCGCAAAAACATGAACCGACACCGCGCGCACGCCAACCAGAACGTAAAGGTTAAATGCGCAAAAGAAACGTTTAAAATTCTTTATTACTTCCGCGAAGTGAGTCAAGCTGTCGAGCTGGCCGATAAGTCCAGGTTCATGTTTCTTTCTCTCTCCACTTCATGTTAACACTTGGTATCCTAGCGCGAGTGTTTGTACTCTTCCAGATCGCGCTTCGAAATCTCCTCAGGAGACAAAGGTGTTGGAATATCCTCCACCTCCATCCACCGACCGTAGTCCATATTAGCCCACTTTCTCTGATAGATTGCATATGATTATGTGTGATTGTTCTACTTATCTCGCAGTACGACGTGTCGTTCCGCGAGCAGGTCCGTATCGCAGTTTGCTTTCACGCGGTGCACACTCTTCGTACGACTACCCGCTGTACGACCGACGCTTTTTTCTCCTTCTTCCTTTTACGTCGCCTCATCTCGTTGTCAATTTCTCATTCGAACAAAAGGAACAGCGCAACGACGGTGAGGAACCAGCTCGTTATGAAAGCGCGGATATCTCTCCAACAGGATGCGAAGTGCGTGCACGCATAAATCAAGCTGCTCAGCTTGGACAACTCTATTCGCAGAAATCTTGCTATTTTGCTATTAGAATATCCCAGTCTCCGTGGGAACAATGGAATGCATTCGAATTGTAAATTGCGACACACCGTCAACTTTTACAGATTAATTTCTTATATCTTACAAGACATCATGATTGCTCTACGACACGAAAGTCTATTAGGTTAGTGTAATATGAACTAATCATTCCTAATCTTATGTTTACTACAGCTATCTCGTGTAATGTAAGTTAGACAATTTAGAAATTTTATAGTTAGATACTAATTTCCACCTGTTTTAATTTGCGCTACACAGATAAATATCCAGATCAAGAAAACATGCGCAAGAATTTTAATTCACAATGTAAATCGCAATTTTTTATACATAACTTTATTACTCTAAATATCTTGAGATAATGTTTCTGCGAATCTATTGTTATTTAGCAAAAATCAGTCAATTTAATGTTTCTGAAAGAACCACTACGATTGCACTCATCGATACATAACTTATTAACGATGCTCTTACGCGAGTAACATATTATACACTCTTTAATTTTAGTTTAAAATATGCCACTTTCATACTAATCCAAACAAAAAGATCCAAAACAAAAGATCGAAACGTTTATGTACTTATTTATGTTTAAAATAAAATATCATTTGCACCCGTACTGGTTCGTACAGACTTCTCTTACACGCATTATAGATTAATTTCATTCGAGCCTGTTATTCCTGTATCGAGAACTTTATGTTTGTGCTTATATGAAATATATCGAATATTTATTACATTTCTGTCATCAAATAACTTTGAAATAATTTTTGTACTAGCACAAGTAATCGAATTCGCTAAAAGTAAAATAATTTTTATATCAATCGATTGATTCAGTGTTGGTTGATATTATGCATTTAATTTTTCACATAGAACATTTCGCAAAAAAATTTAATTATTTATTTATTATTAATTATTGTATTTATGATTTTATTATGATTGTGAAAGATTTAATAATTCATGCAAGGGGCCACACTGTACATTTTGAATTTAGACTCACATCCCGTGTACGGCAAAACTTTACGTATTAAGACATCCATGACGGTTTGTGTAAATTATTTCATATTTTTCAAGTAATGACATCATATATGTATATAATAACTTATACACTGGAAGAAGTAAATACATTGTAGAAAGAGAGAGAGAGAGAGAGATATTGCCACTTATCAATATTGTGAACGTTTCATCTCACAGTAAACGAAAATGAGAGAAATATGAACGATATCTTGACAGAGATCGGTAACAACTTTCCGTCGACATTCCGCCTCGAGTGCGCGGATGTACATATATACGACTGCATGCATGGAATGTGATAAGGAACAAGTATGGTGTGACTCGTGACAAAACGTATGCTAAGGAGATCGTAAAGGAATAAAATCTATCGCGCGCGTTTCGCAGAGATCTTAACAGCGGGCGCGCTTTAGCTTTCATGGGAAAGTTTAGCGACAGATATTAAAGAATCGTAAAGAGCGAGTTGCGCCATGCATGCGTGCGTGTATACGTTGAGAGGAGAAACACGACCAGCCTTATCCAAGGTAGGGTGTAATTTATAGTTGAATCCATAGCTAAACGCAGCTGCATAGTGTCAAGCTGCCGTGTAAGCGAGACGGAGAGACGCTGCATCGGTGGCGGTCCACGAATGCCGATTGCTGGTTGTTATTGACATTCAACGATACCGCGGTAGTTTCACGCCATGGAATGAAACATGCGAGGTGCTACTAGTCATAGAATATTCTGCTTATCTATTCTATTTGCATAAATAACGGATAGATGTATTCATAGAGCTCCAACCATGCCCATTCATTTTTTGATAGGAAAGATTTATACCATTCAGGGATATAAGAAAAAATCTCGCGCATTGCGATTGAGATCAAGGAAGAAAAATGGCGGATTATTTAAATCTGTAGATTGAAAAATGGAGAATACCTGAAAAATTGTAAAGCAGAGTTATACTCGTATATATAAAGAGAAAATTATTCTCTCACGATTATATATATTGTTTATGGATGAAATATGCTTGAAGAAGAGTACTTCTTTTTTTCCCACGATGAAAATTAAAAGCGGCCGGTCTTTCCAGCTCTTCGACTGGTTTCTATCCTACTTGTCAGACTGTCGTCAGCTCATCTCAAGTTGAAGGCCGCGACGTTGACGCTGGGGCAACAACCTTGGCATGTTGCGGCTTAGAAAATTCATCGCGTTTTAAAAATTCAATGGGAAGGTCGACCCGATAATTTTTCCTCTCAAGTTTCACTTACGGTTAAATATCGTTGTTTTTTGTTGCGGTATCTTCGTGACAATGACATCGTGGAAAATATTACGCGATGCAACAGGAAACAGGTTGCGCGGGCGAACGTAACGCATGACGATAATGTCATGCAAGATGCGGGCTTTCAAAGACACGCGATACCAGACACATCCATAAGCCTGTCGCACGGTAGTGATAATGTCCTTGTTGGTCGACGATGACGGGTGAAACGGCATGTCGAATCACGCGAGAACTCGCGCGGCGATAGTAAAAGTAGATAAGTTTAGAGCGAATCTGTGTATTAAATAATTTAACAAACTCGATATTATCTTATTACGAAATATTACGAAATTAACAATCATTATCGCAGGAAACCTAATTGAATTTCTTATACGTGACGAAATGGAAAATGTAAGATTCCGCCGAGGCGGAAACCTGACAAATTAGTTTTCTACGTGATAAAACGGAGAATAAGATCAAGGCAGTAATCAGACAAGCCATAATGTAGACTCAACATTTTAATTGAAACCAGTATCTCTCGAACACCTCGAGTCTTCTCGATGAATTAAATTAATAGTAGCACAGCGAATATGTTCTATTATCTAATACACGCGATATAACGCAATATCAGTGAGCTTGTCAAAATATTGCCTGGCTTATAACGTTCGAACTTTTACATTGCATAAGTACACGTTTTAGTTTTTAGAGCATGACTGTTCGTACCACCGTTCGCATTCTAAGCGTATCGGTTTCGATCGATGGAAAATACTGTAGAGATCACTAGCGAACGACGAGGTGACTAGCGAAAAATCGGGACGATATCACCACAGAATGGAGATTAATCTGAGACGAACGAGCCGATAACTCTTTGGGCGCGGCTGTACCTTCGAGCAATTCGAAGACCAACGCTGGCTGCTGGATCGCTTAAATTGTTTCGGAGAATAGATGATCCCACAGTACGTTCTCTACAGGGTGTTCCAGATAAATGGAGATCACATTTGAATACGCGCGTTATTCGTCCGTAAAATGCAAATTGCAAAAATTATACGAAAACGTGCAATTTTTTATAAAGATTTGTAGGCAAGACTTTTTTTTGTAATAAATTTCGGTACGGTTCAATATATTCTGTGGTAGCAAAACCTGGTAATTTATTTTGTTCTGAGAACAGTTATTTTAGGTTTCTTAGAAGTAAATAAATAATCCGCGCGCGTGATTATAATTAAAATAATTACACGTGCTCAAGGAATTTTTTATTTTAAAAAGTAGTACGTACTGTAATTCTTATTTATCATTTCTCACTTTACATATATTAGTTACATAGAAGATGAAATTCTTTCGTCGAGAACGCCCCATATATTTCCGACCAAGTCGCAGAAGAGCGTTGTTATTACCACGCCGCTTCTTTCAATCCAGGTTGAAAGGCTCTATCGAGAAATCTCTTTCGGCATACAATCTAATCATGATTTATCGACACGCTCTGTACGATGAGTAAGACTGTCTACTGCCACTGCCTGGAGAAAGTTAATTTGTCATTACTGTCGTTATGTTTTGCCATGTAAAATTTTTTTATACACAACTTTTATGAAATTTTCTTTTTTGTTAATATCACATAAATTTTCGTTGCACCAGAAAACGATTATTTTTCAGTGTTGCCTTATCCCGCGCGGTATATCTCCGTCCGACAAAACGCGAGTCAATATTGATCATTAAAGCAGTTAATGTCCTGTTAAGAAAAGGACTCTTCCAATCTCCATCGATTCATGAAGCAGGATCAAGTTTCTACTTTGTGTGGGAAAGAGAAAGTGTACACTCCACCGGTACTAATTTCTTCACCTCCGTGTA